GTCGCGTTGATGGCTGTGTGCGAGTGTAATCAGGCTATCAGTCGCGTTGATGGCTGTGTGCAATCTGAGGGGGAGACTAGCCGATGTCTCTCTTCCGGCTTCCCGTTGCAATATTGCTCAGACTCCTTCCTCTATCTCCCTCTTATTGCGTGAAGACATCACTCCTATTGGGATAGAACCCAACTCCAGTCTGATCTCGTGTGAACCTAACTGACCACATCTTCCGAGGCCTTGTTTCCGAACAAGAGCTCATTCACAGGTATCCACGCTTAGGGCTCCAGCCTCTCTTTCTGAAGGGACACATTTCAAATCTAGATGAGTTATGTTCATGGGCAAATACAAATTGCGATAATGTGGCAATAGCTCCCATTCAGTAACTTCTCGCTGAGCCTCAGTCTCCTCATATGGAAAAGAGGCATACTAGTATCAACTATCTCGTAGAGCTGTGGTGAAGAAGATCCAAGGATAATATACATCCAAATCCTCACATGGTGCCTGGCAGGCCGAAAAGCTCAGTACATGAGAATGCTGATTAAGAAAACCAATGCTTCCCCACATCCCAGGTGCCCTGACTACTCCAGTTGCCTTTCTCCTGCCAAACTCAAAACCCGCTGCCATGGAGTTGATTCCGATTCACAGCCACCCTGTAGGGCCCAGTACAACTGCTCCTTGGTGTTTCTGAGACTCACCATCATTAGAGTAGCAAGCTGGTTGGTTCAAAGAGCTCCCAACCCAATGCTTAGCTTACTGCGCCACCAAGGATTCTTCCCTCCAGAATCTGGCGCATCTGGGCGTGAAGGAGTAAAACTTGTGCATTTAGACTCTAAATTTTAGAGCGATCTATCTGAGGTCACCCCACGTCTGAGACGTGCACGGGGAGTTCCGCCCACCCAGGAACGCCTACATCCTGGAGCGAGCGGGGCGGGGCGGGGCAGGAAGGAGGGGCGTGTCTCCTCATGCCCCGCCCACCGACGTCCCTGCAAACTTGCGGCGGGGCGGAGCGAGGTGGGAGTGCGCGTGTGAGGGTTTATGGTTTGGGGGTGTGGCTTTCCTGCCGTGGACTGTGCCCACGGGTTGTGGGCGGAGCCACATGGAGGCAGAGGGGCGTGTTCGAGGCGCGGCTTTCTCTGCTGAGTGACGGGCGGTAGAGCGGAAACCGGCAGAGGGGCGTGTTGTGGGCGTGGCCTGAAGACAGGGCCACACCCCCAGGAGCCGGGCTCACACTCCGAAACCGGGTGGCCAGAGAAAGGCGGGAGCCGCCCGGCTGAGGAGGTCCCCGGTGCTGCTGGCGGCGACCGCGGGGAAATCATGACTGCCGTGGGCAGGAGATGCCCCACGCTGAGGCCCCGAGGGTAAGTGACCAGTCGGGCCGAAAGAGAGCCCGAGGGAATGGTCTGAGGGGGGAATCAGACTCCCGAGGACAACTGACAAACCCAGGGACCAGTTGAGCATGGGTGAGTTTTCTAAGCCGTATTTCTTTGAATGTAACTCGGGCCGAGTCCTGCTCTGGTGCCCACTGGACATTAGCTGGTCTATTGGCAACGGCCCTAGGAGAGGTACTATCACCATTCCCATTTTATAGATGAGTGGTCAGTTTGACCCAGTTGCTGAAAGTCTGTATGGTCAGTGCCTGGGCAGCACTGCTTCCTTGCGCAGGGTCAGGGCCTATGAGAAGCCAGCCTGGAGGAACCTTGAGCAGGCCAAGCCGAGGACCCAACTCAGACCTTCTCCCCTCTTGAGCCGGGGCTGGGAGAGCCACTGACCTGGAGCTGACCGCTGACTATGCTGATGGAGAGACTGTCCCACCCTCTGTCACCCCGAGTGTCCAGGAACCTTGAGAGTGGTTGGCTTAGCAGGCCTAGAGACCCAGGGTCTCACCTGCCCACCAAGCCAGGCACTTCCAGGAGCCCCTGAGCCTCAGCCCTGCTCCCTGGAATGGCCTCATCTCATCCTTGTCCTGCCCCAGCCTGCACTCAGTGTCCTCAGCTTCCAAAGGGGTTGGAATGGTCTCTGACCATCCAGCCAGCTTGGGGAAGAGGGCTTTGGGAGAATCCCCACTGAGCAAGAATGGGGGTCCCCTTTCCTGATGACCTGAGAGGTCACCCTAGTGGCCACTCAGGGAGCCACCCAAGCTGAGGGAGATGATGTCATCCTCCCTATCCCCTGGGAAGCAGGGTACACCTGGAGTTAGAGGAAGGAAGGGGAAGAGGTGAAGCTGCAGAAGTTTCCTGGTGCCCCACTCCCTGATGAGGTCATGGGGGATGGGGAGGGGGAGGAAGAGGGAAAGAGGAGGGGCCAACAGCACAAGGATAAAGGGCCTTTAGCTCCGAAAAATGAGAGCATTCCCCCCCCCCCCTTGAGCCCCCTGCCCTTCAAGCTCCCTCAGCCTTCTTAGGAAATGGTAAGAGCCACCCTCAGACTTCCTGCCAGTCTGTGCTACAAAGGAGGACTCAGAAACCCAGAGAGGGAAGGGAGGCCCCTCAAGTTGTACCCCTACAGGGAGCAGGGCTCATTCCAGAGATGATCTTGTCCTCCCTCCCAGATGGCCAGCCCTACCCAGAATGCACTGCCTGACACATGGCCCCTGGCCACTCCTGTGAGGTGGGGGCCACTACCAGTGAGGAAACTGAGGCTCAGAGAGGGGAAGGGACTTTCCTGGGGCCACAGAGCAATTGAGTGCCAGAGCCTGAATCTGATCCCACTTGTCCCACTTCCACATCCAAACTCATAACCTTCTGCGTGTTAAAAATCTCAAAGCTTTTCCTACCATTACTTCGATCCACTTCCCCTAACTGTCTGGGAAGGAGGGGATAGGGGCCCCACTCGCAGATGAAGTCATTGGTGTTTTGTGATGTTAGCAACTGGCTTGATATTACATAAGTGACCTGGAATTTCATCCCAAAGAGATGCAGCTATGTATGCCCCAGACACCATTCTAGGCCCTGGGGAGACAGCTGTAAGCACGGCATACAAAACCCTGCCCTCGTGGGGGCCCCATCCCAGTGTGGAGGAGACAGATGATGAGCAGGATATAGGCAACTAGAAGGGAGAGAGCCCACGGAGCAACAAATGCAGAGTAAATGGAGGGGTGGGTCGTGCCAGGACGAGAGTGGCTGGTGGGGCTCTTTCGGAAAGTAAGCCAGGGGAAAGAGACTCCACGGGAAAGTGACCCTGGGGCAAAGGAGAAAAACCAAATCCACTGCCACCGAGTCGATGCCAACGCGTAGCAACCCTATGAGACAGGGTAGAGCTGCCCCTGTGGGATTCCAAGACTCTCCCTCTGCAGGAGCAGAGAGCCTTGTCTTTCTCCTGCCGTGTGACTGGTGGTTTCAAACTGCTGACCTTTACGTTGGAGCCTGCCACACACACCACACCACCAGGACAAAGGAGAGGAGTGAATAAATCCTCTTTGCTGTCTGAGGATGTGTGTGCCAGGCTGAGCAACAGCATGTGCCAAGGCACTGAGGTGGGGCATCCTTGGTGTGCTTAAGGAACTGTCGAGAGTAGGTGGTGGATAGGAGCGAGCACAGAGAAGAAATGGACTCAGATAATGTGGGCCTGGAAGGCCCGGCAAGGCCCCGGCTTCTCCTCAGGGTGAGACTAGAGTCCTGCTCCGACTTAGGTTTGAAGAGACCTCTCCTTTTGGGAGAATCTGAATC